TTATTTATTTTTGGGACAGAGAGAGACAGAGCATGAACGGGGGAGGGGCAGAGAGAGAGGGAGACACAGAATCGGAAACAGGCTCCAGGCTCCGAGCCATCAGCCCAGAGCCCGACGCGGGGCTCGAACTCCCGGACCGCGAGATCGTGACCTGGCTGAAGTCGGACGCTTAACCGACTGCGCCACCCAGGCGCCCCTATGATGAAAAATTTCAAACCCGTACAAAAGTGGAGAGAATAGTAAAACGAATGTCCATGTATTTATCACCCAGTGTCAACAATGATCAACTCATGGCCAGTCTTGTTTCATTTATACTCACCTCCCACTTTCCTCCTTGACCCTAGGTTATTTGGAAGCAAATCCAAGGCAACATGTTATTTCATCTGTAAATTTTTCAGTATGTATCTCTAAATGGTAAGGACATAAGCAGACATGCCCACGATGGCTATCAAAGCTCCAAGGTAGCAATTAGACCTTAACAGAATCACGTATTGGTTCAACATTTATTTCCCCCTGGTAGTTGAAATCAGAATCCAAAGAGGAATCCTATGTTGCAATTGGCTGAGGTATTTCTTAAGTCTCTTTAAATCTGTAGGTCTTGGCGTGTGTTTGTCTGTCTGTCTCTCTTTCTCTCCCCCTTGCATGTTGTTTATGGAAGAAACTGAGTTGTTTGCGCTGTAGGGTTTCCAGAGTCCAGATTTTCTGATTGCATCCCATGGTGTTATTCTTGGGAATTGGTTGTTAAGACTAGAGACCTGAGCAGATTCAGGTTCAGCTTTTTGGGGCAAGAACAACTCCTAAGTGGTGGTGTGTTATTTCCATCAGGAGGCTCATGGTATCTGGTTATCTCTCTTCTATTAAAATTTTTTTTAAAAATGTTTATTTCTTTTTGAGAGAGAGAGAGAGAGGGGGAGCGAGCAGGGGAGGGGCAGAGAGAAAGGGAGATACAGAATCCGAAGCAGGCTCCAGGCTCTGAGCTGTCAGCACAGAGCCCGACGCGGGGCTCGAACTCACGAACCGTGAGATCATGACCTGAGCTGAAGTCCGATGCCTAAGCGACTGAGTCACCCAGGCGCCCCAAGTTACCTCTCTTTTATTGATGTTAACAGCCCTTGATGGTAGTTGCCTAGATCCTTTATTCTGTTAAGGGCTGCAAAAAACATGACATTTAATTCAAGGCTGTCACTAATTTTTCATTTATTAGCTCTGTAACCTCTATAAAGTGAAATATCTCCTCATTAAAATTTTGGTTATTGTGAAGTATAGTTCACATATGACAGGCAGGATAAATAATTTTGCCCCTTTATTTATCAGTTTATTTTATTTTTCATCAGTATAAGTATACTCTAATCTCCATCCCTTGTTTCACCCCTCTCCCTTCCACCCAACCTCCCCTTTGCTAACCATCAGTTTGTTCTCTATAGTTGAGACTCTGTTTTTTGGTTTCTCTCTCTCTCTCTCTCTTTTTCTTTGTTTGTTTGCTTTATTTCTTAAATTTCACATGAGTGAGCTCATATGATATTTGTCTTTCTCTGACTAACTTATTTTGCTTGGCGTTATACTCTCCAGCTCTATCCATGTTGTTGCAAATGGGAAGATTTCATTCTTTTTTATGGCTGAATAATATTCCATTTTGTATATATACCACAACATCTGTACTCATTCACCTACCGATGGACCCTTCGGCTGCTTCCGTAATTTGACTATTGTAAATAATGTACTCACCAGTTTTCAAAATAAAGAGTTGGTTCCCTAATATTTACCAAAAGTGATTAATAAAGTTACTATTTTGTTGAGTGCCGTCATGATTTCACAGATTTAAACACCATGGATACATTTTAACCCATTGGAGCTATTATTCTTATTGATGCTTAAATTGTCCCATCTTTGGCCCATAGGGGTTTGGGCCAGTGCTGGTGTTCTGAAAGAACCCCAGTAGTTTCTGATGGCTTCCTTGGTATCCTAATATTAAGACAAATGTTTTAGGCTTATTTTGTACATTTCCTGCCCAGACCTGGAATTAGCTATTTCTATAAGAAATTCTGTTGCCTTTTTGTAGGAAATGTTATTTGAAGACCATTATCTGATGGTACTTATTGTTCCTGGGTTGGTTGTTGTTTCTAGGACTTTTCAGTGAGTGGATCTAAGAAGTATGATTTCTTTTTTTTTTTTTAAGAGAAAATACATTATGAACTTCTATTTCCCATTCAATTCAATTTTACACAGTTTTTCTGAACCGTCTTAATTGTCTCTCCTTTCTCCAACTCTAAAAAAATCCTGGCTCTTAATGATGCTGACATAATTATTTATTTGCTTCCCCCTGCCCCCCACATACATATGAGTATCAAATAAAATTAGACTTCCAACGATACAATTACTGAACATATTTAAGGTTTTTCTTCTTCTTCTTCTTTTATTTTTTTGCAATTCTTTTTGTCCTTAGGGCATTGCCTATTAAGGATGTAGAGTGAAATTACTGTGTTTTAAGGTCACTTGAAATACTTCCTCTGAGTGGTTGTGCCACTAACTGAATACACAGTTGGATTTGTTTCATTTTGCTTTCACTTATTAGGTATTATTTTTTTCAAATTTCATATAATTTGTTTGTATTTTTAAAATTAGTTTTTATTTTGAAATAATTACAGATCCACAGGAAGTTGCACACATAGTACAGAGGAATCCCCCAAATCCTCCACCCAATTTCTCCCAGTGGATACATCTTATGTAATCAGAGCACAATCTGGAAACCAGAAAGTTGACATTGGTAAAATATGTGTGTGTAGTTCTATGCCATTTTATCACATATAGATTTGTGGAACCACCACTATAATCAAGATATAAAACTATTCCATCACCACAAAGATCTCCCTCATTCTACCCCCTTATAATCATACTCACCAGCCCCTCTCATTATTTCAATACCTTTACCCTCCCCCATGTGTAACACAATGTCTTAAACATTTCCTCTGCACACATTGAAAAACCATCTCAGACAGTATTATAATTTTTGCTTCACTCCTGAAATGAATATTATACTACAGGTTAACTAACTAGAATTAAAAAAAAAAAAAAAAACCTGAAATAAAAAAAATTTTTTTGCTTCAACTATCAAACTATTAACTTAGAAAACTTAAGTGTCTATTATATTTACTCATATTTTTACTCTTTAATTGTTCCTTTTTCCTTCTTGATGTTCTTGATGTTCCAAGATGCCTTCTTTTATAATTTCTTTCTGATCAAGTATTTCTTTAGCCATTCTTTTAAAGTAGGTCTACTGGTAATAACTTCTCATAAGTTTTCTTTCTTCTGGGAATGCCTAGATTTTTTCCTTCATTCCTAAAGGATATTTTTGCTGGATATAAAGTTCTGGGTTGATAAATCCTTTTATTTAGCAATTGAAAAATGTTTTGCATCTCTTTTTGGTGTGTGATGAGGTTTGTGATGAGACATTTGCTGTCATTCTTTTCCTTTGTAAGTGAGGTGTTGGGGAACCTGAGTGGTTCAGTTGGTTGAGCATCTGACTTTGGTTCAGGTCATGATCTTGTGGTTCATGAGTTTGAGTCCCACATTAGCCTTACTGCTGTCAGCACAGAGCCTGCTTCAGGTCCTCTGTCCTACTGTCTCTCTGCCCCTTCCTTGCTTGCTGTCTCTCTCTCAAAAATAAACACTCGTAAGTGAGGTGTCATTTCTCTCTCACTACTTTCAAGACATTTTTTTGTCTTTAGTTTTCAAAAATCTGATTTTGATATGTTTTGGTGTGGATTTGTTTGGGTTTACCTGTTTTGGAATTCACTCAGCTTCTGGAATCTGTAGGTTTATATCTTTTGCCAAATTTAGGAAAATTTCAGCTATTATTTTTTTGAATACATGTTCAGCCCCACTCTCTTTCCCTTATCCTTCTGGGACTCTACTAACACAAATTTTAGATTTTTTGCTATAGCCCATAAGTCCCTCAGGC